CAAGAGGCCCATGATCACTCTGGATGAACTGCAGATAACTACAGCTGAGGTGGGGATGGTGTGTTCAGGGTGATGAGCTGTGTTGCTTTTACGCCAAACATATCGTTTTGCATTGTGGCCAAAAAGTTTGATTTTGGTTTCATCTGACCAGAGCACCTTCTTCCACATGTTTGGTGTGTCTCCCAGGTGGCTTGTGGCAAACTTTAAACGAGACTTTTTATGGATATCTTTGAGAAATGGCCACTCTTCCATAAAGGCCAGATTTGTGCAGTGCACGACTGATTGTTGTTCTATGGACAGACTCTCCCACCTCAGCTGTAGTTATCTGCAGTTCATCCAGAGTGATCATGGGCCTCTTGGCTGCATCTCTGATCAGTCTTCTCCTTGTTTGAGATGAAAGTTTGGAGGGACGGCCGGGTCTTGGTAGATTTGCAGTGGTCTGATACTCCTTCCATTTCAATATAATTGCTTGCACAGTGCTCCTTGAGATGTTTAAAGCTTGGGAAATCTTTTTGTATCCAAATCCAGCTTTAAACTTCTCCACAACAGTATCTCGGACCGGCCTGGTGTGTTCCTTTGTCTTCATGGTTCTCTCTGCGCTTTAAACAGAACCCTGAGACTATCAAAGAGCAGGTGCATTTATACGGAGACTTGATTACACACAGGTGCATTCTATTTATCATCATCAGTCATTTAGGACAACATTGGATCATTCAAAGATCCTCACTGAACTTCTGGAGTGAGTTTGCTGCACTGAAAGTAAAGGGGCCGAATAATATTGCACGCCCCACTTTTCAGTTTTTTATTTTTTTTTTAAGTTTAAATTATCCAATACATTTCGTTCCACTTCACGATTGTGTCCCACTTGTTGTTGATTCATGACAAAAAATTAAATTTTTATATCTTTATGTTTGAAGACTGAAATGTGGCAAAATGTTGAAAGGTTCAAGGGGGCCGAATACTTTCGCAAGGCACTGTATATTGTCCCTGTCAAACAAAAAATAAGCTAAATTTAACTTCTAATTTGAAACATCAAATGAAGCTGAGCAGTCTGGGGCCTGGTTAGGACTGTGATGGGAGACGGCTGTAAAAACTGTTGTGTTCTTAGGAAAGACAATTCCCAACATGGCCTCGTTTGAGGACAACTGTAAATCTAAGCTTCTAATCTGAAAATATTGAAATCCAGGTTAAATATAGACCTGTGTATCTTTAAAAAGTCTGTTATGACTTCTTTGATTCATAACCCTGTATTGTTTTGTAACAGTTTTAGTTTCCTTGTTTATGAATTGTGCTATAAAAATAAACTTAAGTGTACAAAAGCACAATATGAAATCAATGCTTTAAGTGGGACATTTGCAGTGTACAGTTCTTAATAGTCGTACTCGAATAGTTTCCCAAAATACTTTTCCCCAGTTTGTAACAAGCTCTTAGAGACAGATGAGGACCACGGTTTCAAACAAAAAGATAATCAGACACAATCAATGTAAACTTCCACATTTATTCCTTTAAAAACATGACAATCTTCAAAATATACATACATTTCCTGCACACACACACACACACACACACACACACACACAGGCACACACACACGCGCACACACGTACACACACACACAGCCCTGATTCAAAACGTAAACACGGTGCCACGACTTTACAGCCCATTATTTCAATACTACAGTGTGTTTCGGAATAGTTGCATTATTGACCAAAATGATACAGGACAAATCATGAAACGTACGGCTAAATAATAAACCGTTTGGATTAGATTGCCCCCTAGTGGTTTTCAAAGGAGAAGACATGGGCGATTGATTGTGCTGAGAACAGGTTTTTTTGTTTTTTTTCCCAGACATATGAAACATATGTTTGGTGTTTGTGAAGCATTTTTTTAAGAAGTGATTCTTACTTTAAAACAAGCCATCAATCATTATAACATAAAACAATAATTTCAATAACATCAGCCTAAAATATGATTTGAAATCAGATAACTGGAGCAGATTATCACCTGCAGAATGGGCCTCATTAGAACTGATGTGAAACAACAGAACAGATGCTGTCTGTGCAACAGTGTCACAGTTAAGTATTTATAGAAACGGATTAATTGAGGCAACACAGTTGGAATCAAAGGCTTTTTGGAATCGATTAATTTGATTCATTGTTTTAGTGCAAAAAACAAGCATTTACATTTGTCCCCTTCTTATATCTCATTTAAAAAAAAAGGAACTAAGAAGGTAATTGAAGCCACACAGTTGTAAAGAATGAGGAAAAATTCCCAAAACTTAAGAGTTTCATTTAAATTGAAGAAAGTGAAGGGAGGGGGATGGGTTTGTGCCAGAAGTTTTTGTGACATGGTTAAAAAAAAAAGATTATTCAAATCAAAATCTACTCGAAGTTGAGGTGAAAAGACCCTCAGATTACTTTTTGATGTAAGAAAAAGATAGTGAGAGTGATACAATGCAGGGTTAAGAAATGAATAAGTAACACGAGTAAAGCTATAGATGTTGAACTGTTTCAGAAGTGGATGGATGTTATAGGCATGACCACTAGGGGGCATCCATCCTGCAATCGCCCAAACTGAGTTTGTGGAAATACATTCAACTCCTTTGTAAATTCCCCCAACGGCGAAATTCCATCAAAACAAAAAGCCAAAACGGCTTACCACACGATGACATGTGTCTGTACAATATTTACACCAAATTTTATACAAAAACCATGTCACGGGATTAAAAGGTGCTCTGACACAGCACCGCTTCATTCTCACATTGAGTTTGAGACGGATGTTAAAAAAACAGCAGAGGACGCACTCCACCCACAAGATTTCACATCACCAAAGTTCTCAAAAAAACAGCTCAGAGTGGCTGTAATGCTGTCCTCATCAGTTTTACCAAACAATCTATAAGAAGTAATGTAGTATGGATAGATAATGTAGTATAGATAGTATAGGAGTATTGTGATATAGGTGTAAAGTGAGGTCTCGATAGACCTCACTTTACACCTATATTTGTAGATCCTCACTGGCTCCAGGTCAGGCACCTTCATATATTACTAATCTACTTGTGCACACTCTAAGATCCTTGTGTAAAATTGAAAAAGGGATAAGCTGTTTTCTCTCATGATGCTCCTTGGAAGTAGAAAGCTCTGGCTAATGACTTCAAAGTAGCTCCAACGCTGATCTCATTAACTTTTGCTTACATCTCGACCCTTTTGGTCCTGATTTCAGCCTCTGTCTGTTATATGAAATATGCCATGTAAAGCTCCATTTACATAAAAACCCAAGTCCCTTTGCTGGCCCTTTCCGGTGTGTTGGTTTTGTGCCCTGCTGACCTAAGATGTCTGCCCATTCAAGTGAATGGGCTCATGGGGTTTGGCTCGCACCACGGAGGCTGAAATATTAGCTGAAGTGACGCATTTCAATCACCTCTGGTCCTCCCGGTCTTGTGCAGTAGGTGCACGGTTTGTTCCGCAGGCCGAGGTGAACACGTGAGCGTTCTGACCAATCAGCAGACTGTAGAGGGCAGCACTGCGCAGCACTGGTGCACAGCCGGCTGTAAGGGTTTAGAAGGAGACGACCGCACCAACCTGTGCATGCGCAGATTAGAGCGGATGATAACGTGCAGTTTAGTGCACAAACGTGTGGATTTATAGAAAACCGGATTGGATGGATCGTAAAGGGAAACAAAGCTCAGGATGATAAGGGACAATAACATTTCCACTAAACCAAACCCTTTGGGAAAGCCGTAGGTTCTGACCACAGAGGACGAGCCGTTTTAGCAAACACTGGTCTATTGGAACATTTTCAGTTGCAGTCCACCAACATGCTGGAGACCGGCTTAAGCTAGTAATACTCCATCTACATAATATAATGCATCCATAATGACCCTTCAGTGACTTTTATCACCATGGCAACTGTAAACTGTAAACCAATGTCTCTCAACTGAAACTAGATTTCTGTCACATTTATGGAACTGTGTGGTATTGAATCATTTACTGACTTAATTTGACTCTATTAAGTTTTAGAAGCATAGTTTTAATGTACCTTGAGAAAACAGCAAAGAGATTAGAGCTAACGTGATCCAAGTTAAGCAATTATTTTTGCTAATTTTCTGTCGGAACATGAATGAGGCTTTCATAACAGGTCCCAGTGTGTTTAAACGCCACGTCTGTTGGCTTTCAGTCGTGTTGTGTCCAGTTATAACAGTTGTGTATCTGCTTTCAGTCGTGTTGTGTCCAGTTAAAACAGTTGTGTATCTGCTTTCAGTCGTGTTGTGTCCAGTTAAAACAGTTGTGTATCTGCTTTCAGTCGTGTTGTGTCCAGTTAAAACAGTTGTGTATCTGCTTTCAGTCGTGTTGTGTCCAGTAATAACAGTTGTGTATCTGCTTTCAGTCGTGTTGTGTCCAGTAATAACAGTTGTGTTGTGTCCAGTAATAACAGTTGTGTATCTGCTTTCAGTCGTGTTGTGTCCAGTTATAACAGTTGTGTATCTGCTTTCAGTCGTGTTGTGTCCAGTTATAACAGTTGCTGTGCTCTCCGTCTGAATAAATACACATTTGGACACAGCTCATGTTTTGCAGCTGTTTCTAGGACTGATGTTTTCAAAGTTTGCATCGACATTTTGTGAGCTTCTTATGTATCCATTGGTTTCAGAATGAGGAGAAATGAGGAGAAATGAGGAGCACGCAACAGTGATCATAAATTTAAAACTTAAAGTCACAAATTTTGACTGGGGGAAAAGATGCTCGAAATATTGAATGGAAAAAGAAAGTGACATTCTGGAAGGACTGTTGTGCAGCTTTGTGGGAGGATTGTAAAAGCTTGTGCGTGGAGGCTCCTTTCATCCCGTCTGTGTGAATGGGCCGGCTCTGGCGCCGTGGCAGAGGTGGTGTCCAGTGAAAAGCAAACTCACTCCTGTCCTCTGGAGAGTCAGCGGCCCGTCCCCGCAGTCTCTCCTGTAGTGTGTGGTTGGCACAGTCGGGCGTGGCTGCCCCGGGGCGAGTTAGGTGCTACGATGCCTTGCCCAGCTCGATCTTCTTCTGTATGACTCGCGCCGAGTGGTAGATGAGCGAGTCGATGAGGCCGGCCACTGAGGACGGGACAACAAAACAAGAGAATAACGCAAAAAGACATTTTAACCTTTTAAGTGATGACTTTTCTTCAGAACTAAATAAAAGCAAGAAATAAAACCAAACTATTACTATTATTAATAATAATGACTAATAATGGTAATTTTGTAAAAGAATAAAGGTAGCTTTATGGTCAGATTGGTCCAGTGTACATGTGTTTTCTGCATCATTCTAGTCTTTGAAAACTGCTTAACGGTTTTAAGTTTTATATTCACAATCGCAGCAGACATTTATTTTTTACAAGTTCCCACCAAATAAGTTATACTTCTTTGAACAGTATCGTATCAGTTTAAGACTAAAACAGACTGACCTGTGAAGACTCCTCCGATGATAGCACACACTCCTGTTAGGAAGTGTGTCAACGACCTGGGAACAAAGCACACAAGGTCAGGGACAAATTAATACAATCATTAAAAATATGCATACTATATATCAATCAATCACACTTTATTTATAAAGTGTGCTACATTTATTTGAATGAAAACCAAAGTGCTTTACATCCTGATATATATACACATCTGCCAACTTTATGTACAGTTGAAACTTCAAGTTTATATATATCTTGACTCTCTGTACTAGAGAGTCAAGATATATGTTAGGCCAGGCGGATCAAAGCATAATCATGTTAAATATCAAAATATAAGGAGGAAATTAAGATTTATTTAGCCTGTATTTAGTACATGGGGGAGCCTTCCACAACCTTCTGACAGTAAATTAGTAAAAGTTTGATCAGTGGGATTGAGGTCTGGACTTTGATGGCCTCTTCTACACCAGACCCCGAGTCATTTTTGAGCAGGTTTAAGTGATGCAAGAGTGATTCGGTTCAATTTCCATTTGGAAGACCCATATGTGAAAAAGATTCAACTTCCTCTGGATAGTTTTTTTTTTTTTTTTTTTTTTTTTTTCAAAATATCCACATTATTCTACTTTTCAGGATGCTATTGATTCTAGTAGTAATAGTGGTAGTAGTAGTAGTAGTAATGACTTCTTATCAAATTTAATTTTGTTTCAAAATAAAACTATAAACAGAAATAACCAGTTTGAGGGTTATGTTCTTCATAACTGTTATAGAAGTATTGACGAAAGCATTATGGATGTATAGATAAAACCTCCATCTAGTGGTGATAGTGGCTAATTACATCCTGCTTACATCCTACTGCAATCTAAATCATGAAGTTTCAAAGAGCTTCATCTGAATGAAGAAATTCACAAAACAAATTTAGAGGCATAACTGTCATTTTTAGAAGTCAGAAAACAGGTTTGTATATCATAGTGTGAGGATTGAACACAACATAGTAAGGGGGTGGACCGGCTGGTGTCCTGGTGCAGTGGTAACAACCTGGGGCCGTATTCCTAAAGATTCTGAGAGTCCTCTCAGAGAGCTCTTATCTTAACCTAAAAACTCCTAGCTAGGAGTCTTAGCTTAAAAGTTATTCCAGAACACTCTTAGAGAACTCTGAGCAAGGAATTGACAACAACTTTTATCTTAGTGAGGAGGCGTGGCCGACCCCGTTGCTAGATATGAGTCATCATTTCAGACGCTGTGATTGGTTGATCCTAAAAGTTAGAACAAACCTATTTTTGATGATAATAGGCAAAATAAGGGCCCTAAAATGGACAAACTCAATCATGGAATCTAATCTTAGGAACACTGTGTTATTGTAAATAATAACCAAAAGCTATAAAGTCAGATATATCAATGGTAAATACTGTGAATAGTAAAGTTAGACTTATACACCATCATCAGAGCTTGCTCAGCACCAATTTATCACACATAATACGTATATATCATGAGCACTTATAATTTTATTTATTTATATATATATATATAAATAATATATATATATATATATATATATATATATATATATATATATATATATATATATATAATATACATATACATATAATTTAAATATTACTCTATATATAATATACATGATAAAGAAAATTATTAATATAAATATTATATGGATAAATGATGATAATGATAACGTTAGGATTAGTAAAGGCTGTGATATGTATAGACATATAAGGAATTAAGGAAACAATATTAATATAAACATATTATACATACACTGTACAAATCAAGTACAAGGGAGCTTAAAAGTCTTATCCTCTCCCACTCCTTTTTGACCTGGATTGTTGTTAATAAAACAAAACTGTATATTTGTACTTCTATTCTGTTGTTGTTTTGTTTGTTTTGTCCTTTTTTTTCTGGTTTGCCATGGCTCAAAATAAAGTATTCATTCATTCGTACTGAATGTGTGACAATTTAGGACCACTTTTTCCTCTCTTTCAACTTTTACCATTTCTACTTACTTTTGTGTAACAAAGGTAAAATGGATGAGGTGTTATTGCTGACCAGCCAATGAGAAGCTGGTCACATGATTGACTTTTAAATATACCACAAACATGATTCCTGCTTGAATCTGTAGCGTTTCACTGATTCACTGTCATCCAGTGTATAGAATATTTCTCCTGTCTCCACCGTCCACCATTTTGTGCTCTTAGGGAACTTTTAAGTCGCTAAAAGTCCTCCTCTCAACTCTTAAGGGATCTCCCCTTAAGAGCACTCTTAAGAGCTAGGATTTTTTAGGAATAGCTTTTATCTTAACTAGGAGCTACTCCTCACTTTTAGGGGAAATTCTAAGAGTTGGTCAAGATTCTAAGAAAATTCTTAGAATTTGGCCACTAGGAGCAACTTTTAGCAGTAAGAATCTTTAGGAATACGGCCCCTGGAGCTGAACGCCCAGAAAACAGTGGAGATGATTATGGACTTCAGGAAGTCCACAGTCCCCCTCCCTCACCTTACATTATGTGCACCATGTGCACTTGTATATTGTAAATAGTAATTGTAACTCTATTTTAAATTTAAATGTATTCCTTAGAAGTGTTTTTTATTCTTTATTTTTTTATTATCTTGTTCTGACTGTCACTGAGCCAAAGCAATTTCCATGTCTGTGACTTCCTGTTACTTCTATTTGTTTGTGACAGAGTAAAAATCAACTATGTTTTTCTATTTTTATTATGAGAAACAATGTGAAGAAAATGACAATTATGAATGTTGTCGTCCTACCTGTGTTTCTCTGTGAATTTGACCATCATTGGAGATAGTTCATATAAGACAAAGACCCCTGGGAGCCCCTGGTCCCCAATCAGACCGTTAGCAACTTTTTCATGACGAGTGACTGAGAACTGGTTTGTTTTGACCACCTGAAATAGAACGCAAATACATTAGACTGTGAGGCTCCTGTTCAGACTTAAAATGCCTCTAAAAATATATATACAGTGTAAGTAAACTTACCTCTCCATCGGTTTTAACGTAGACAGTGGGAACTATCTTCACAAAATACTGGTACATCATAGAAGCTGTAAAAGAGATATAAACGCAAAACTCATTTTAATCATAATGCATGATCATGTTTATATTATATATTATGAATGTAATAGACTGCGAATTCTAAACAATTAAAGTCTACCAGTGAGTGAATGATGGGTAAAAACAAAACAAAACAAAAACCAATGCCAGAAAACAAGGAAAAAGTTACTAGCCTCACGCTTTTACTACCTCATAAAAAACAATTGTTACCTAGTTGTCAATTTCACAGTCTGGTTGAATATAGGCTGAAGACGTAACATAGACAGCGTTTTGTAATTAAAAAAATAGAAATGGTATTTCTAGGTTGTGTCAAATTCTTGGACACTTTATTCTCACTTCTCTGTCTTAAAGAGCAGGGGCCGTATTCCTAAAGATTCTGAGAGTCCTCTCAGAGAGCTCTTATCTTAACCTAAAAACTCCTAGCTAGGAGTCTTAGCTTAAAAGTTATTCCAGAACACTCTTAGAGAACTCTGAGCAAGGAATTGACAACAACTTTTATCTTAGTGAGGAGGCGTGGCCGACCCCGTTGCTAGGTATGAGTCATCATTTCAGACGCTGTGATTGGTTGATCCTAAAAGTTAGAACAAACATATTTTTGATGATAATAGGCAAAATAAGGGCCCTAAAATGGACAAACTCAATCATGGAATCTAATCTTAGGAACACTGTGTTATTGTAAATAATAACCAAAAGCTATAAAGTCAGATATATCAATGGTAAATACTGTGAATAGTAAAGTTAGACTTATACACCATCATCAGAGCTTGCTCAGCACCAATTTATCACACATAATACGTATATATCATGAGCACTTATAATTTTTATATATATATATATTATATATATATATAAAATTATATAATTTAAATATTACTCTATATATAATATACATGATAAAGAAAATTATTATTATAAATATTATATGGATAAATGATGATAATGATAACGTTAGGATTAGTAAAGGCTGTGATATGTATAGACATATAAGGAATTAAGGAAACAATATTAATATAAACATATTATACATACACTGTACAAATCAAGTACAAGGGAGCTTAAAAGTCTTATCCTCTCCCACTCCTTTTTGACCTGGATTGTTGTTAATAAAACAAAACTGTATATTTGTACTTCTATTCTGTTGTTGTTTTGTTTGTTTTGTCCTTTTTTTTCTTGTTTGCCATGGCTCAAAATAAAGTATTCATTCATTCGTACTGAATGTGTGACAATTTAGGACCACTTTTTCCTCTTTCAACTTTTACCATTTCTACTTACTTTTGTGTAACAAAGGTAAAATGGATGAGGTGTTATTGCTGACCAGCCAATGAGAAGCTGGTCACATGATTGACTTTTAAATATACCACAAACATGATTCCTGCTTGAATCTGTAGCGTTTCACTGATTCACTGTCATCCAGTGTATAGAATATTTCTCCTGTCTCCACCGTCCACCATTTTGTGCTCTTAGGGAACTTTTAAGTCGCTAAAAGTCCTCCTCTCAACTCTTAAGGGATCTCCCCTTAAGAGCCCTCTTAAGAGCTGGGATTCTTTAGGAATAGCTTTTATCTTAACTAGGAGCTACTCCTCACTTTTAGGGGAAATTCTAAGAGTTGGTCAAGATTCTAAGAAAATTCTTAGAATTTGGCCACTAGGAGCAACTTTTAGCAGCAAGAATCTTTAGGAATACGGCCCCTGATCTAAAGACATGACAAAGACCAAAAACATGAAAGTGAAAACTAGTAATAGACACAGACTGTTTTGAGTGCAAGAAACTAGTTAAATAGATTTGTTAATGGTTTGAAAGTTAGGCATTCCAGCTTTAAGAGCAAATATTTAACACCTCTGTCATAAAGTAAAATGGTTGAAAAATGTCCAATCCAAACGATGTCAGAGCCCAGCTTGTACCCTGGGCAGAAGTACATCCGGTTCATACACTTTCGACGATTATTATTTTCATTTATACCACAGGTTAATCTTTTTTTGCAGACACAATAAGGAACGTTATTTATAACCCTTTAAGTGGTTGTGAAGGTCTGAGCCCCCTGGTGTATAAATAAGGATATTATTGAATATATTTATAAATTATTATTTATATTTATTATTGTGTAAAATATAGAGTGTCCGATGCAAAAATAATTACCAAAGTATGATTTTTTTTTAAAACACCAAAGAGGATGTACTTCTGCCGGCGCATGCGCAGGAGTCGTTGATGTAGGAACTGGTTCCGGTACGAGCTGCACACTGACAAACAGTTTCACCCAGAGCCGTGGAGTAGAGCTGTGCTATCCCCACTGTACAGTGGCCTTCTCTCGGGACACACGTAGTAAACCTCGTACTTTACGGTGAGTGCACCGAACCCCGACCGAAGGCGCGTTCTCAAAAACGTGACTTAATGTGAAGGTGAAACCTCCTTGAGGCCGTAGCGTTACGTGACGTTAGCAACGTTAGCCATGGCAGCATATGCAAAGCTAACGAAGCATGTTTTGATACAAGATATTGTCATGTTGTCATTATGGACACGTCTCATGTTCATGAAAGATCACGCTGTTCCAGGCCGTTTAATAACTTTGTGGATCCTAAACATTAGCCCTCAAGTTATGAACTAAATAATAAAGATCGCAGCAGGAGTACAAAGTGTTAGCCTTGGAACATCTACTGCCTGCTTAATGGTCGGAGTTGATCTGTATTGGTATGTTTTGTTTCCAGTGCAATGCACGTCATGTTTGCTTTGAGTGTGGTCACAATATGTAGTTACGTTGACATGTTTCATCTTACGTGAGAATAATGTTGACTATTGTGACAGAAATGGTTGCTTCAAGATGTACCTAACTTATTTAGATTAGTAATGTGTATTTTAGGGGCGACAGTGGTCTTTGGTCGTGGGTTCGATCCCTCCACGACCCATGTCATCTGCTCCTGCTGTCGTTGTGTCCCTGGGCAAGACACTTAACCCCATGAAAATGAAATGAAATAATGTGTATTTAATCCTTTTAGGCTTTTCATAAACAGACAAAAGTTGGAAGGCTACTAAAAGGAACAGTAATAAACTATAGAAACGTACATGAATACATCAATTCCACTTTTTAAATATATGGTTATGATTTTCTATTGTAGCATTCCTCATGACATGCTTAGTTTTAAGGGTAAGAAAATTACTAAATTTGTAGCAGCAGAATGTTACGAACTTAGCATTGGCTTTTGACCTATTATCCATGTGGATGTCCATTTGGATGTTACATTAACCGTTTCCTGCAATATTTCAGTACAGCGTTAAAAGTTAGCTGTTCCCCCATAGACTTAGATGTAGATATTTATGTAAGTGAATGAATGTGTGATCTGTGTCTCCCAGATGCCGGTGGCAGTGGGGCCGTATGGACAGGCCCAGCCCTCGTGTTTCGACCGGGTGAAGATGGGCTTCATGATGGGCTTTGCTGTGGGGATGGCAGCCGGGGCCATGTTTGGTACATTCTCCTGCCTCAGGTGACCAGAGGGGTCTCGCGTTACAATATTAAACTTTCCTTTTAGAATATTGAATAACATTGTATCTTCTTTATAATCCATCACTGGGATGTAAAAATTTTATGAAGTATACAAAATGAAACTGAACAAACCTTACTTGATCATATTTGGATCTGTTTGATGCCAGTTAGTTCACTGTTACGTCCCAAGTACATACAACACAAGAAGAATATCTTGATCTCTAATTTCTAATGTTTGTATTTTCCACATTCCAGGATTGGGATGAGAGGTCGCGAGCTGATGGGAGGAGTGGGCAAGACAATGATGCAGAGTGGAGGCACTTTTGGGACATTCATGTCCATTGGAATGGGAATCCGCTGTTGAGGACCACCTGGTTTACCAGATTTTATTTACAGAATCATTATAATTTATGGGACTGTTCCATGTGCAAAGTTACAAATCTGTTTTCTGTTTGTCTTTCTAGTTTTGCCAATAAATTCTTGGAAATGTGATATTATTTTGAATGCAATCATTTCAGGATTAAACCATTATTATTCTTTTGTTTATGAATGGGTTAAATTGTTGCACATAAATCATAAATGGCAAGGTATAAATTGTGATGGGTGCTTTTGGATGGACTTTTCCAACATAAATGAATGTGATATCTCCAGAGTCAAACATACCTTGTGGAGCTGTTACGTTGGTGCCGTCCAGAGGGTTGACGATTCCTGGATAATCTTTACCAAACGACAGATGTCTGATCATGTGGGTCATGTTTATCTGTTGAATCAAAGCATCAACTTTAGGCCCTTGCAATGCTTTGCACTAGTATGCACTTGCTCATAGTCTCCATTCACTTGTTTTGTTGCCTCATTGAAACAATTGTGTGCACTTACATTGTCCAGGCCAAAACTCTGGAGATCATGGACTGTGGGAAACAAAAAAGGTCACATTTAATTAAATTACTTAAAGATGGACAAAAGTTGTGCATCTTATTTATGCCTTCTGTGCTAATATGACTTTGGTTTAGCTTAACAAGCCAAATAATTGCACCTTTTCATACTAACTGCCTGGTCAGATGTAAAATCTCATGTATTTTTTAGTCATTCACATCAAAGTGACCTGTTTGCAGTGTTTTGACATGACCCCAATTATTTTGTTTTATATAAAACATCCGCTACAGTAACAGATCCCCCACAAACAAATTGTGCAATTCTTAGAACTGTACAATTTACAAAGGAACCCTGCAGTTAGATGGAATTATCAGGACAAGGAAACCCTAACACAATTTGATTTGTATCATCTGAGTCTGTGATTTAACTTTGATTTGTTTTTAAAGAGTGTTTTAAAAGGAGCATAATCTGCAAAGAAAAGGACTTACTTTCCACAGCGTGCACTGCAGAAAGGAGAGAGAAGAGCCACTTTAATCAACCAGCAACAACACACATTAAGACTCAAGCACGAGCCGCAGAAAGTCACATTAGCAGAAGTGAGTCTTGTCTCTTGTTTCTGCTGGAAAAACATTTAGACTGAAGGAATTTAACAGCATGGATACCTACAGCATGTTTTTTCTCTGTTAATCCTGTTTAAAGTGACAGCGTGTGCCGCTGTTAATTTCCTTCACTGACAAATGATGCAATGAACAAAATCAGGCCAAAAGAATGGCTCGTGGATGGAAATACAAATGAAGACAAAAACATGCAGAAAACAGTCATACTGTACCTTAAAACCATATCCTGACTCTACAGGTCGACCAATATGATTTCTACAAATAATTACAGTCAATGAGGCTGATAACCAATATAAAACTGATGTAGTAAAAGTCTGTTCATAAAGAAAACAGACACGTGCACAGAAAGTAGGACATAAGGTGCATTAATAATGTGTTAGTTTAGTTGACTTGCAGAGACCTTAGGAATTGTAAGAGCTCAAAGTAAAAAAGGCACATTGAGCATACATTTGAAAACACTTTGAGACAAATGTTATTTTTTTACTTAAACCTATAGCCACAGATTTAAGACATTCATAATGAGCCCTAATGTTAAATGCCATCTGGACAGATTGAAGTTAAACAATATTATAGCTCCACAGTTTTATTCTTATTATGTATCTATTATCTTAATAACATCCATCCATCCATCCATCCATTTTCTACCCTTTAATCCATTTCTGGGTCAGGGGGGTGGCAGTCAGAGATGCCACCCAAGTCTCATAGCACCAGCCCCTCACTGACCCTCTGCAGGTGGTGAGTCCACAGGAGGTCTTAATAACATATATATATATATTAGTGAATAAAAGTGTGAGAGGTTTCATTATCATGAAACCTCTCACACTTTTATTCACTATGTGTGAACAAAGTACAAGATTACTCAGATAATTCATCACTATCTTAAAATAAACATTAAAAAATGATTAAATGGTTTTTTAAGACTCTTGTTCTTTTTCCATTATAGGATCAGGGAAAGGGGGAGACCATACAGTGTGTTTTGGCTTGTATTACAATATTTGTGTGATTAGAATGAATAATACTCATTATAGTAATGGTATATTTTGTGTGTTGGAACAAGACTTTCCAGGATGTAACAGTATGCACTCCCAGTTCCTCGTGTGGGTTACAGTCAGGTAAAGGCAGCACCATATCACAGACTCAGGCTAACTCACAGAAGCAATATTGTGGAACGAATACTTAATTACTACAATATTAATTTTTCAAATAAGATGCAATGTTTTGACACAAACACTGCAAACACAGTTAAGAACACTTAGGGACTGACAAAAAATGTGCTGTTTGTTTGGTTTAATTAAAAAAATACAAATATATCAGTAGTCTCATAATTGGTCGACCTTTACATAACCATGATAGAAATGTACAATAACATCAAACATGAAGTATGGAATTTAAGGATGTTTTAGGATTTATTAACAGCATAAAATGTCTTACCGTGAACATGCGACTGTTGAAAACTCTTCCCAGGGGCAAAATGGAAATTTCCTGCAACCTGAAAAAAAAAAATTCTCTTCAAAAATTCTGTCCATCCATCAGAAAGTACTTACATATTGAGATCTGACAGAGACTATGGATTTATTACAAAATGTTCATGGTGTGACTAGGGATTCACCGATCCAGCTTTTTTACTACCAATACCAGTATCAGATCTATGGGTATCTGCCGATACCGATATTTACCAATACCTGAAGCAGGTTGAGAAAGCCATAGTATTCAACAATAGATGGCAGCTGCAAGCCTAAAACGATGAACTCCAACACTTTCAGCTTGTTGCTGACAGCTTTTTGTGAAGCTGCAAAGCATCCCCCAGTGTCATCTGTGTCTCCTTGTTTTTGCGTCATCTCCTTTCGCTGGTGTGTAGTCGTGTTGTATTTTGCTAGTTTATCGCCGCCTCTCGAAACATGACATTTGCATGAGGTTGTCTGACTCGTTGATGAAGGTAGTGTAAAAGACGCCACACAGCTGATTCTGTCCTGCGCTCCATGCTTGGTTGTTGTAGCAGAGCGTCACGAGGAAGTGACGTGTCCGCGTGAGATCTGATAAATTACTTTATTTTACGTATTACTTACTTTACGTATGTTATGCACAATTTATTTTAAGAAATTGTGCTGCACCTCGTATGTTTGTATACAAAATAAAAAATGCACGACGCAGCTCTCTATGCTGATATCCGATCCGGTATTTCTGGTATCGGCGCCGATATCGATACCAGTATCGGATCGGTGCATCCCTAGCTGTGACAACTGCCTTTGTTTTTTAATACTTTTTTTTTTTTAAGAAGAAAGAAGTTTGTGTCAGAGATATCAGTGTGGCTAGAGATAAAAATAATTGGTTTGAAACACAGATATGTAAAACCAGAGGACACATGCGGCGGTACCTTGTTGACCTCGAGGAAGCCGTAGACCTGACAGCCTTCGTTCTTCTGCTCCTGCATCTTCTGACTGAAACCCTCTCGCTTGCACTGCTCTATGGTGTCTGCGTTCTTGAAGGCCCAGCCACGTCTCCTGTAGGCCTCGCGCACGTCGTCACACGTGTTACAGCATCTGCGAGACATCCACACACATAAGGCCTAAAATTCTCATCTTCAAATAAGTCATCAACAAACTGTACGATACCCAGAGAGTATTCAGGGAGAGTCAAGTTTAAAACCTTTTTCAAACTTTTATAATATTAAAAAAAATATTTTTTCTTTTTATAAACGTTTCCCTAAAGCGTTTTATTTTTGACACTCAAAGATGCTTCACATAATAGTATTTAATTCAATCCATTCAATCCAAACTACTCCTGTAGCCACTGCTGTAAATCAGCCTAAACTGAGAAAGAGAAACCCAACAGTTGGCCCTTATAAGAGGCATACTGTATTAAATTATATATAATAGTGACATAATTATGTCATGACAGTGACAACAGAATGCAACTCACTTCAGATCTTCTGTCTCGGCTCCATAGCAGCTCTCACATCGATTTGGGTCCAATGAACTTGGGTCAAAGACTTCACCGTTATCTGCCTTTCCCAGCTCTGCATAAAACCAAACACAACACTTGACATGGCAGACAGACGGATGGTTGTCTGTATTTTAACTCTCAGCTAGAAGAGGAAAAAGGGTAATTGTAGGGCTGTAACGATGCATGTATCAAATTTGATATACCTTCAATCACAATTCAGACCAAGTGTGCTATAGCCCAAGAGTCAGCTGATGTGGCTGCAGGTTTTCTATCAGACCAATCAGGAGCAGAGTAGACTGAAAGAATACCTCCAGCCAAACCAACTCTTCTTGGACCAGTAATCAAAAAGATATGGATTCTGCAATCTCTCTCACACACACACACACACACACTGCAACACAATTCAGAATGGTGTTGATCCCAATCCTATGGTTCCAGTCTGCTATCGTAAATGTATGCCACGTCCCACCTCCCCTAACACGAGTCTCTTGAGCTTCACCAATGTGTGTGGGAGGGCTATAAATAAACTATACTTATCTTACACAAGTGCCTTGACCGATAAATGTAAATTTCATGAAAGCAATTATCTCGATATATTCTTTTACTATAATAATTCCTTTTAAATGATTCAATTATAATTAATATACAGTACCGTGTTTTTCTGCCTCGTCCGTCACTGGCTGGAGGTCTTTGTCCAGTCGCTGTTTGAAAAGATTGTGTTCCACGTCCAGCTGTTGCTCTCCGGCCACGTCCATCGCATCAATACTGAGATCTGAGGAGCACAAAGCAAGAAACAAAAGGTGGTGACTTCAGGATTTTTGTATCCAGGTAAAACTATTCATCAATAATATAATGCAGTTGTTTGACCCTGTTCTATAACATAATATATTTAATATAGTCCCAACCCTTATAATATAAAAATACCGGTAATACTAGCCGGATAGCTAAAACAATGCTATAGAAATGTATAAGGTTTTTGTGCATTTTACGTAACATGTAAAAGTGCAATTATAATGAACGCAATTAATCAGGTGCTGGCCCTGATGGCGCTGTGCGAGTTGCGGCAAACAATGGTGGTGTACTTCTTTTAATCTGCTTTTACTTGATTGCTTGGTAATGAAATGAGAGCAGGGAGGCTAATAAAGACACACATTTTGAAATAAGAAAAGCCTATCTTCAATGTAAAAATAAGATTGAGGTTGAGTTCCACAGCAATGTGGAACTCAACGGACTGTCCTCCACACAAGACCAAGGAGATGGTGGATTTCCGCAGACGTCACTCTGCCGCTCCAGCTCCAGTGAACTTCCAGGGAAAGAACATTGAGAGAGTGGACTCTTACAAGTACCTGGGTGTTCCTCTGAACCACAAACTGGACTGGACTCATAACAGACGCCCTCTTCAAGAAGGGCCAGAGCCGGCTCTACCTGCTGAGGAGGCTCAGGTCTTTTGGAGTGCAGGGGCCACTCCTAAAGACCTTCTATGACTCTGTGGTGGCATCAGCCATCTTGTACGGTGTGGTCTGCTGGAACAGCAGCATCACAGAGAGGGACAGGAAGAAGCTGGACAAGGTCATCAGGAAGTCCAACTCAGTCCTGGGCTGTTCCCTGGACACAGTGCAGCTGGTGGGGGACAGGAGGGTCCTGAACAAACTAACATCTATGCTGGACCATGACTGTCACCCCCTGCAGGACACTCTCTCTGCTCTGGAGAGCAGTTTCAGTGACAGACTAATTCACCCTCGATGTGTGAACGAGAGGTTCCGTAGGTCTTTCCTTCCTGCTGCTGTCAGACTGTACAACGAGAATGTGTAACAGGAACTGCTAAACAGTCACTGATAATTCACTAGTAACTTTGTCACTTGTCACTTTACCTGTTATCAGTACTACTGCATTATTACATATCTGATATTTCTGCCTTTCACCAGTCACTTTACCTGTTGATATTTGACTGTATTATTACATATCCATCTGATAATTCTCCCATTCAAGTCACTTTACCTGTTGACATTTGACTGTATTATTACACATCCATCTGATAATTCTCCCATTCAAGTCACTTTATCTGTTGATATTATTTCTGATGTTTATTCTGCTCATATTCATATTCTCATATTCTCCGCGGCTAATGTATAATATAGACATCTGTAAATACTTCCGAACCAAGTGCAATTATAGCCCAGAGTATATCTCATTTTATTTTATTCTTATCTTAATTTTATTGTCTATTACCTTAAATAATACTTTTATGTGTGCAATCTGAGTGCTCTTATTTCCTTTCTCTGCTGTAATGTGCGCAACGATGACACTGAAATTTCTCCACTGTGAGACTAATAAAGGTTTATCTTATCTTATCTTATCTTATGACCTGAAAGATGTGTGAGCCTGAAAGCTATGATGGTTCATTGGCACGCGTCAGCCGCAACTCGTGTGTAAACGCTGTGGATGGCTCAGGCGCAGAGACTCTGGTTATCTATGGAGAAGCGTGTATGGAACCACCCGGAGCACGAGTGGCATACCATCTGCACTTTTCTTGCTGGTGCAATGAAACATGTATGAAAGCATATGACAAAAAACACATGGTCGGAACAATGGATGCAAGGCAAGCCCTTCTTGCACCCATCTTAAATAATTTTTGTTTCAGCTAAAACAAGCACTTTCATAGAATTAGCAGTAGCGCTTTCCATGGCCCTTCTTATACAGGGCGTTGGTATTAATACCAACGCCCTGTACAAGAAGGGCCAAAGTCGCCTCTTCCTTCTGAGGAGGCTGAGGTCCTTCGGAGTGAGCAGGCCTCTGCTCAGGACTTTTTATGACTCTGTGGTAGCGTCTGCCATATACTACGCTGCCGTGTGCTGGGCCCCGGGCAGCACAGAGCGGGACAGAAACAGACTGAACAAGCTGGTCAGGAGGGCCAGCTCCACTCTGGGCTGCTCCCTGGACTCTGTGGAGGAGGTGAGGGACAGGAGGGTGCTAGTCAAAGTCACCTCCATCATGAACAACACCTCCCACCCACTGCACAGGACTGTAGAGGAGCTGAGGAGCTCCTTCAGTGGAAGACTGAGGCACCCTCAGTGTAGGAAGGAGCGCCACCGCAGGGCCTTTATCCCCACCGCTGTCAGACTGTACAATAAGTCACTCTAAGACACTGTATAAGACTGAAAAAAACCTGCACTACTATTGACACTATTTGTGATTGCCACTTTTAAATTGCCACTTTTTTTTATTGTACATAATATATCCAGCATTTAACATGTTTAACACATTTCCTCTCTTTTTGCACAATCTCGAGTGTTTCTATCCATGCCAAATGTGACATGTAAATCTCTCCTTTGTGAGATACATAAAGCATTTCTCATCTTATCTTATCTGTGTCATTTTTGTTTTGGTTCTGCCTGGCACTACAACCGGGCTGGCAATGCATCATTCAAAACTACGAGTCGCTAAGCAAAATCCTGCCCTGCAATTGGTCGTTCAAATTATTTGTATTTCATACTTTCAGACAGGATTTGCTGGAGATGTGAATGTAGATCATTTTTGTGAGAATTCTTCTAGAAGCACAAAGTTGGAAAACTATTTTTTTTTTTTTATGTTTAGTTATACTTACAGGCACAGGGCATGTGAGGAAACAAAACGTCTATATTGATCTTGAGTTTATCTCCTCGAGAAGTGTCCACGTACAGCTCAGGGTGAACCTACAAAGGAGAAAAACATGCAGCCATTAACCAGAGCATCTGAGGAGAGGCCAGCTTTCTTGCCAGAACTTTATGAGTGTCGGGCATCCTGACCATAGACATAGAATATCATGTTTGTGGCCCATCTTTCCCATTCACAGAATAGACTTTCATCCATGGAGACCGCATGAGCTGCTGCGAGTGCCACCCTCCCGCAGAAAACTGGGTAAACTGTCAAAGGTAAATACTAAGACACCTCAGTCTGTACCGATGTTAGCAGGCCTGGCTTTGAGCGGCTGGATGGCAGTGAGATATACCCAAACAAAGTTGACGGAGGCAGGCTCCAGCTTGGTCCACTTATTTTTATTTTCTGTTTTTTTTCCTTTTTGTTTTAAAGTGACCAGTGCAGACAAAGAAAAGGGTGCAAAAATGCAAAACAAACCAACACAGTGGATGAAGGACAGGAGCATGTGTTCCCCAGCAGCAGGACAATGGAATGGTAAAAATGGGCGCATTATATACTACTGGGTAAAACCAATTAAAACTCCAGGGGTATAGCATTAACATTAGCTTCTAAAAACTATGTTAAAACCCTCCATTAAAATACCAATAACCAGTTACCATAATAAAACACCCCCCTACAAAAATATACTCCTAAAACACCCTCCTACAAAAATATCTATACCAACTATGACTAAAACAGTGCTAGATCCCCCCTCCACCAATTCATTGACTTGGTCCAGCCGGAACCATAAATGCCGGTGTTTGTGGCCCGGGGACTCTTTTGGCCCACGCACCTGGACACAAGACAGTGGTGAGTAAACACATTTTAAAAATACATATCACAGCCACACTTATATCATTCACCCACTAAAACCACACATCACACACACCCGAACCCATACCAAACACAACTAACTCAAACACCACATATATTGCACAAAGCCCCATTCAAACTGTTTTGTTTGTCTCCGCAGACCGGACTCTGGACAACCCAAGCCCTCAATAAATGTCTTTCTACCCAACAGTTGTGTGCAATTTATTATATGTGCAAATTAGCATGTGACAATATGTGTACAGTGCAATTTAAAGTGTGATGTGACATTTAAAAGGTAAATTCATAAAGTGCAGTGCGATATTACACGTAAAGAACAGCTGTTCTTTACAACCGAGATATCAGTACAGACTGTTCCATGGAATTTATTTATTTAAAATTCGGTCGAAGCAAAAAATGTAAGACAATGATTTATAATACATTATTTTCTGAAAAAGAAATTAATGTGTATGTGTTATTTATTTGCAAACTAACAAATACACAAACTAATCCTGGTGATTAAAATACCTCCTGACAGAGGTAATCAGGCAAAACATAACAAAAATACATTGTAGCGCTTTTGAAAGACCACAGTTTACAATAATGAGCAGCAAACAAGATCCTAGGAGCCTTACTACTGAAAGTGTCCTTGACAAACGGCTACGCAAACCAGTTCTGCAAGGTCTATGAGCAGGAAGCGTTACGAGCATTTATTACCATTAGTATACTGGACAGTTGTGCTTAAAGACATCAAGAGTTGCAGCTACCGAAACACAAAGGCAGCAAATTTGTTGATTGTCTTACAATTTCAATTAGGAGAGATGTTCCCTGACTGTAGCCAAATATATCTCAAATTTCAATTTTGAGATGATCAATATGAGGGAAAGAGCAACAAGCATGGACTCACCTCTTTAGTCAGATAATACTGCAGCTCTGAGATGAACAGGACCAGCATGATCACTCCACTGATCAGAGTCACTGTGGACAAACAAGCAGGAACCATATTAGAGACTAAACTACGTCAGAACAGAGTACAAATATTTCAAAGTTTACACAGTGCAATAGTATATAATAGATGTCTTAAATATATTTTATATATTTATATATATATATATATATATATATATATATATATATATATATATATATATATATATATATATATATATATAATTTGTGGGAAGCTGGTCACTGTTTAAAAAGTGAAGAAAACTTTTGAAAACTGCCTGATTGTCTGACAATACTTTCAAAAGGATTGATAATCAGATTGGTATAAATTGGTATCAAATCCTGATACTCATTTTAGTATCAATACCAAAAGTTACAATTTATGAGCGGTTGTTGATCAAAATCAAAACTTGTGGTACCTCTAAAATAAATATAGCATTAATGTGTATTCAAAAGTGATTTCTCTGTTGTAAACTTTTTTTGCTAATAATAATGCTAATTGCTAATAATAATAACTAAAATAAAAATATAAATGTCTGGATATTGTATTTGAGTAAAGAGGTAAATAGAGTGCATGCTGGTAACTTATATGTTCTAGCACATTTTGCAAATAATATAAAAAAAAACTGGAGCTCATAAATTATAGATCAGCAAATGTAATTAAAGTAAAGGGTAAATTAAATTATTTAAAACATCTTGTATGTTCCCTTATCCAAATCATATGCAAGTTATTCTAAGCTAAAAATGAATGTAAATTATGTCCACAATATTTATGTTTGCAATTATTTGGCCAATTTTCCAATCAAAGAGCAGAATGAGTCTCATTTGGGTTGCCAGTTTGTTAAGTGAAATGTTGGTAGCTGGCTTTGGCTCAGGTACTTTGGCAGGTACAAAGTAGTCATACCTAATACACAGAGGTTATACAGTATATAGCTGAACTCCAGCCGGTGGATTAAATCAGTAACCAGTGCTAAATGTGTCACAGACGGGGAGATTCTGGCAAAAGAAGTTGGATGGTATTATTAATGACTCTAGACCATTCATTTTACATATGACATACACCTCAAACGCTGCTTTTATTTCACAGTGACTGCCCTATAAAACAAATTCTTTATACGTGCTTGTGTTCTATAATTCAGCCATTTAAAAGGGGAAAAAGCTTCGGAAACCCGTGTTGTTAGCCTCAAATGCTAACAGAAGAACAAGCACACTTACCGGTCACTCCTCCCCATGTCTTCACTCGGAAATCTTCCAGAGTTTTTGGGTAGGCATCGAACTGCTTGAGTTTGTTCCAGGTGTCCATTGTAGCCCCACAGACGACAGACAGATGACAGGCAGCCCGGTACAGCCTCCTGGTACACTATAAACCGTACAGCCACAGCGCCTTCTCCCTTTCCTCTCTCTCTGCTTCCGGGTCAGGCTCACGTGACAGCCGCGGCGGAGCCAATCATCGGCAGCCGCGTGAGAAAAAGCGATATTGTATTTATTGGGGCGAGACATGTCTTATTATAGCCATCATTAGCTGAGTGTTAAAAGTCTATTATAGTAAAAACAAAACGTGCAAAATACAACGCAAGATTGGTCTATATCTTTCAGGGCCGTGCTTCTCAAAGAGGAGTCTGGGGCCTCCTAGGGGGCCTTCGAGGCTCTGCACCTTGGTTGTAAATCTGTATTCTATTGGTTATACTGAAAACTATTGGTTTACTTTTCTCTACATTTTAGAGTATTGGGATTATGGTTAAATGCAGTCTCTACTTATTATCTCATAGGTTAAAATCTCATCACTGTAACTTAGTACTAACATAGGATGGCCTTTGCTGTCCGTTAGAACAGAGAAACATTTAATGAGGCTTTTTGTACAATTATGTTGCACAATATAAAGGAAGCCTGGAGGTTCCTTTCTTTACTTTTCGTTGACGTGATTGTCTAACTTGGAACCTGCTTGTCATGGTAGTTGGACCACAGGCTTCCGAGAATTTACATAACACATTAAACAGAATATCATTGAGCCTTCTTTGTACAATCAGAAATACAAATAATATACTAGATTCTAATAGAGTGCAGATCACCACCAAGAGGCACAGTGCTATTCTTTAAAAAAAAAAACAGCGTACAGACAGTGATTCAGACGACTGGGCATTGCGCAATGGCCCAGCAGACACTGGACAATGGACGTCCTGAATATTTCGTCCAAATCCTCCCATTACTGTTTGAGTTGTATTGCTCACAAGTAAACAAAGAAACAGAAAATAAATGCAACCGTCATCATGGCAACCGTCATCATGGCAACCGTTGCTACGACAATAGTCACCATGGCAACCGGAAACATGCTCCCAAAAAAGAAGATGCAACAATTTTGCATTAACACTAGATAAACCAGATTGTTTGTCCGCTGGCATGATAACAGTTGTGATAGTGATTGTTCCAATAGTGTCATGGTAACAGTGATCAAAGTGATGGTTGCCAATGTAAACGTTGCCATAGTTATTGTCACGGTGACTCTTGCAATAGGTGCGGTTGCTGTGGTGACTATTGCTATAGCAACAGTTGCCATGTTAACCGTTGTGATGGTAACAGTTGCCATAGAGATTGCCATAGTAATCTGACGGTTACCATGGATACTTTTACCATATTCATGGTTCCCATGTTGACTCTTGCTCACTAAACGACTTCATGAAGTTCAAGGAACCCACCAGAGACATCTGCGATTCATGAAGCTCATTAAATTATTGCTATTGTGTGAGAATAAATTTGCTATGGGGCTGTAATGTGGGCGGAACTCCTAATATAGAGAAATTTTCAATGTAAAATCCTCATAGATGGATACTTTATTGATCCAATTCAGATGTCAAGTAGCAGTAAAAATAAATAATAAAATAGATCATTCTAAAAAGCTAACAACAGTATTAATCAGCAACAGCCCTTCAGGTCACATTAGAAGAGATGGAGTAGCCTCTAGGAGGAGCAGGACGGGTCACAGCAGCAGAGGTGGGGCAGCCGCTTTGTTCAGACCATTTTCTCTGCTCTAGTCTAAAGTAAAATGCTAAATGCTTCATTAGCATTCTAAAAAAAAGTTAGCATTCCTCCAGTGGATTTTCACCTGATCCTCTTGGTTCGGATCATGAATCCTCTCTGTTCCGGTCTGGATCAGTGAAAACCATGCACACTGTACCGCAGCAACATCTTACTTAGAAAAAAGCAAGGGAAAAAAAAATTGTAAAGCACAAAACAAGAACTGTTTCAGAGCTGCTTAGCTGCCATTTTTTAGCATGCAGGATTGTCATAGTATTTTCAACCAAATATTCTTATTAGAATTGACAACATGTTGGGGGTGATCAGCTATCCAGAGAGTAATGACTACAGTATCTACATTAATACATTAAAAAACCTAAAATTAACTGTGTTACTGTTTAATCCTATAGCAGTTCCAGAGCAGTCAATTTGACAGCTTTTAGTTTTGGAGGTGCAAACTCATCTTGTGTACATTCTTGGTCTTCATAACTTTTATCTTTATAACGTTTATTTCTGTGTCATTGCTTTTCATTAAATTATCTTTTATTTTTGAAATGTGATTAGTTCTGTCTTTAATGTTTCTTTTGGCCAAAACCACTGTGCTGTGGATTGTAGTTAGCAGATAGCTCATTGGCCTCCGTCTTGCCTTCAAACTCTTAATTTTCTTTTTTCCCCAGCCCTTTGACAAAGACAGCTGACCCACAATTAGAAATAACATTTTACGTTTATTGTTCACAAATGTTAAAAATGCTAGTTACATACACATACTATGGTAGAGTGCGTGTGCAGCTCTGTATGTACAAGGACATTGGACATGCACACAAAACCACTCCATGACGTTAGTTTGAACCCTGTCACATCTCTTTTCCATAGATAATACAATCTCTGTCATTAAGTCTGATAAATGCTTCTGCGAAATGATTAACTTTGTGTGCTTGTTACATTATTGAGGGAATGTGATTGTTGAAATAAACTCTGATACATATCTATATGATAAAATAATACACAAAGACATCCCGTTTTTACCACGCATAAAGTGAAACAGCTCTTTTTGTTATTATGACAAGCCTTTTATAAGTGATACATTCATTTAGTCCTGGATAAAATGCTACTTTATTGTCCAGTGCATATATACTGTCTGTACAAAAACGGATGTTGTAAATACAGGTAGTCCATTCAGTTAACAGATAATAATCAAAATAAATGACATGAAATGCTTTAGTAAAACATTCAACTTTTTTAACCCCTTTCCACCGCTGCAAAAAAAGTCTGTTTAAAGTTGCTGTGTGTGATTATTTCTAACCACTTTCTAGGAAAATCTAGGAAAAAGTCGCGTTTTGTGCAAGAATTTAACCTCAACCACTCACAGGCACATTTTAGACCATATCTGGAACGGTAAAATTATTTTGCGGTAGTACTCCAGTGTCTGGATTGCATTGAACATGATAAAATATATTTAGTTGGTGTTGATGATGATAAAAGTTTTTTTTTGTAGGGGACAGTATAAGAAAGTGTGTTTATTGTGTATTTAATTTTATTGTCAAATAACTAACGCCACAACACGTCATCAGTATGTTAAATCCAACCTATCTCACAACGATTGAATACACATAATGTCCATGGGGCATGAATGTGTGTAGGCTTGATGTCCCCAAAACGCAATCTTTTTGGGACTCTACATAACCGTTTTCCTTTCAGATTAAACCAAAACATAAGATTATTTTGTGTAAACTGCGTGAAAAGGAGCGGTCTGAAAATGGCGGTGCTTGTTTGGACGTGGTATCTGCTGGTGTCCTCTGCTTCTCCTCTCTGGCCTCACAAGGACAGTCTGAGACACGTGAGAGAGCAGCTCATCTGTCCCTCTCTGTATAAATAGCACATTTCTATAGTGACATCACAATAAGAGTCGTCCTATCCCTCAAGGTCTCGGTCCCCAGGGGCCGCACAGGGAGAAACTGGATACTAGTATTTATTTTATTACATTTCTGCTAGCTCATTTTGGCCCATACACACATTTACATTTGGAATCTCAAGAACGTCAATATATATCTATGCTTTTACAATGTAATAAGACGGTCAGGAGAAGCAAACCGCAGGACGTAAAATCTTTCTGCTTTGGTAATTTTGGGGTGGGGTGAAGTTGTAAAGATTGCAAATTGACCGGGGAATTTCCACTAATTTCAACTACTAATTTGATTTGGAGGAAACGCATGGGTTTAATCAGAGTTTGGAAACAGGACGTACTGTATGTTTGGGTTTGAACCATATTTCAGAGACTGATATCGCAAACACCCATTGTTAGTGGTTATTATATAAACATGTTTCTATTTTTACTTGATAATGACAACAGAAACGCCTCCTCTGACCCTGATCAGAAGTCTCAACCCCCCAGTCCCCAATAGCATGTAGTTCCCCTTTAATATCTATGACATTATTTTGTGGTAGTTATGGATGAGGTTCTTTATCCTCTGATAAAGCTGCTCATTCTTCTCGGCAAAAAGCTCCTTGTTCTTGTAAATACCTGGTCTGCCTTACATTCTTCTGTTAGCAATGTTTGATTCTCTGATCTGTGTTGGCAAATTCAATGGTTGTGTGAAGTCCTCTGAGATAACTATTGTTGTGATTTAAGGCTATACAAGAATACATTGATTTGATTTGAATAATCTGCACATTTGAAATTCTAAACCAAGTTCTCCTCCTACTCCAATTGAATCCGATTGTCGCATGTAAAACCAAGCGCTACAACACAGGTGTGAAATACCAGTCCATTCTGAGGTGGTGGGTGAGCTTCATGTAAACACGTCTATCGTATTGGATGGATACAACAGGCATGCTTTATAAACACACTCAATGATATCATAATTTTGATAAAGAAAATATGTTTAAATGACAATAAATGGCTTCACACATGTGTAAAAAAAGTGTTTTTGATGTGGGATGAAGTGCATTTGTATGAACTGTAGTTTAACTGGGGAATTTCAACTAATTAGGGGGCACTACTTTTTCTCAAAAGTTTGGAAACAATGCATATAGAAAGAAGAGACTGGAGGATGTGATTGTGGTAGTTTGTTCCTGATATTGGCACATCCCTGGGTATGTAACAAATCTTGCCTTTGAGCTTGACAACATGATTTGACAGCAAATGTGCAGTTGCTTACACAGCTAAATTTGCAATGACAATGAAGTAACCATCTTGACAACCCATATATTGTTGATTTAATATGTAAGATGCAGGTTAGTGTGTATTTGTGAAACTATTTTCCGAAGTGATTGGATAGCACATTTATTGAATTTAGAACTTGAAATTACTCTATTTTTTCCCTTTTTACTGGCTTCTGAAATGATTTAATACTATGAAAACCGTAGAATCAATTTTTCAAATCAATAACATGTCTCTATAAACTGCCTGCTTTTTTTGGTGGGAAAAAAGGTGAATTATAAAACAATATCAAAGTCTATGGCAGATCATGGAACACCAGGTATCACTGCCTCTCTTCTCTCCAGGCACGAAACAGGAATGACCTTGGTGTTTGGCTGGAAATGATAACGGCACGTCTGCACGAGGAGCAGAGGTGAGAGTGAGCAGAGCAGACGCAGACAGAAGCAGTCCGGTCAGAAGGACAGTCTGGACGTGAGCCGGGTTTAGAAGAGCAGGACTTGGAGCTCAAAGACAAACAGTGACTCTGCAGGAAACATATGTTCACCTGAGCTTTTACTGCAGTCAGGGAGCTTCAATACTGATCAGGGGTTTTTCATACACTTGTGCTTGGAAGTAGTTTACATACCCAGCCATAGATCGTATTGTTTTGGCCATTTTGGAGATTGTGAATGATAACGCAAAAAGCTTATTTCTGCATTATTGTTTGCGGCTGTGTGAAGCCTGAAATTGTCAAAAAAAAAACACATGGAGAACTGGGAGAGGGAGACTTCTTCAACAGTGACAAAAAACATGGTAAATAAATACTCTTAAAAAGGTCACATTTGTTTTTGGTTGACATGTTTTTTCATTTGAAGCAACTACCTTTAAAGAATACATATATAGCATATTTGTTACTTTGTATTTTTGCATTATAGAATGTGAAATAATATCCTCAGTAGAAAATATAGGTTGAAACATGTATCAAGGCAAAATCATGCTTTCAGCCTGGGTTGTGACTGCATGGGTTGCAGCTGACATCAGCACAGTGGCGGATAGTCCTCCGAGAGTAAGTAATCTTTATTTAGTAAGTAATCTTTATTTATATACCGCCTTTTCACTGCAGATCTGAGTCTCAAAGCGGTTTACAATTGTTAATTAGGGGCACTTGTCCTCTCACTTCACACAGAGATGGGAGCGGGGTTGCCAGTACAGGAGGCGCATGCCAGAACTATTGGACATATTTTTAGTGGTAGGGGAAACCGGAGTACCCGGAGGAAACCTACGCAGACACGGGGAGAACATGCAAACTCCACTCAGAAAGGCCCTGGTCCGACCGGGATTTGAACCCAGGACCTTCTTGCTGAGAGGCGAGAGTGCTATCCACTCAGCCACCGTGCCGCCCATTGAGAGACAGGAAGTAAATCTCTCCATTAAGAAACATGCAATTTGGGACTGATGCGCCACATTTTCTGTGGCACGTACAGCTGTAGCAACTGCTCGTACAAAATAATGTTTACATACCAAATGTCGTCTATAGCCAAGGTGTTATTACAAAAAACAAAGAGGAAGCTGAGCAATTGTTATTTCCGCAACTGGGACTGTTGGGACCAGGGTAATTTCTGGAGTAAGTCTTCGGCCTTATCACTTTAAAAGGCAGAAGACTATTCTGAGTGTGATGTCATAGAGGTACCATGACATCCTACTATCACAGGATTAAGACAGGCTTTTTTTAACAGAAGGGGAGAATGTTTGTACCAGAAGTTCCTGATAGTACCGTCGATTGATCTAAAAACATCTCAAGGTCTGTGAGTGATGCTGTACATTGTTGTAACGTGGTCAAAATGTTAAGGCATACTGTCGTTTGACTTGAACAACACAATAGCATCAGCAGTGATACATACCTGCAGTGTAAAAGGACCTTTTAGAAAGTTGAAACTGGACAAATGCTGCATGAGTAATTGCATATTGTTTTAAAAAGCTGTTGAATGATGAGGTGGCATTTAGTGCAAAATGTTCTTATACTTTTGCTCATCTCATTTTCCCACTCAATGTTGTTCTTCGACTCTACCTATGGGCTGCTCAACTTTATATACATTTTCATAAATCTGGGCATAAATTTAATTATAATGTGATTCCCTGCTTAAACAAAACATGTTCAATTGGATGTGTTGTCGGGGAAATCTCACTGGTTGTTCTGCCTTCTCATTTGTGGCAACACATAATTTAGGGGAACTAACACGCATGCATGAATCGATTTTTAACAGCTTTTAAAAAGGACATATCCCAATTCTGTTTCTATGATATCATAATATATGGTCCCAGGGAACTGAGTATACACAGCCCCGTCCCTTCTACAGGTTTTGTTCTTTTCAATGTTATACATGTTTCCCTCACACTCAAAAGCCTCTTTGGAGGGGTTCATGTACAGCCTGTTTGCTTTGTTTGGCTCTCCCAGTTAGTGTGTATGTTTTATTATGAAAAGGAATGACTGAATATGTTTGTGCAAACTGGAAAAAAAGTTTGTCATAATGTATAGTATCCTTCAAGCCTGCTTTAGTCTCAAGTTAAACCTATTTTAGACTTGGTTTTGTTCCGATTTAATGGTTCAGAGCCTTTAGCTGGCGTTTCCCTTTTGTCAATGTGGTGTTGGTATTATTGTTGGTAGTTGGAAGATAACACCGAAACATATGAATAAAATACAAAATCCTTTATGCCATTATGGGTATATAGTTGAACAGAAAATGGTTTCTCTATGGCTTAGAGGTTGGGCATAATATTGTTATCGATAACAAACAAACGCAAGCACCATATTCTCCATTGCTTTACCGTACAATAATTCAACATAATCTCAATACATCCAGTATTCTATCATTTACTTTTTATACACTTAGAACACTTCTCTCTATATTGTTCAAATACAGTACATTGTTTTCTCACAAGAAGACACCAGTGTGCTAGTCAATAAACTGTACTGTGCAAAAGCTTCATTTAAAAAAAGAAATACATTCAGAGAGCCACCTTGACTCAAATCAAATTCCTAGTTTGTGACTTCCTGTTATTTACAATGGCAATTAAAATAATTCTGATTCTGATTCTGGAAAAAGCACTTTTGTATCTCTGTCAAGACACTGGCTCTCTTTCACTATTCTACAGTTCCCAATGGTAAATGTGATGCCAACCTTGACTTCTATTGTAATCATATTCATATGAATCTGGATTATTTTTTCCTTTTTAAATAAGTGTTATATGGCGGTTTCAGTATACAAATAGTTCACATATTTTTGTCTTTCCAAGCTAAATTTGTATCCGTCATAAAATGTGCATTTAAAGAGTCATCACCTAAATTTCCATCTGGATTTGGTTTGGGTTATTTATTTTGGGTCCTGTTATAACAAAAATGTGTGTTGTTGACACAACCCAGATTTACAGTTAAATTGACCCAGAAACTGAGTCTGATATCTAAACCCTCTGTTGGGGTAAGACAATTGTTTAGTTTGCCTAAAATAATAAGGATCAAATTTGGGGTGAAAAGGATTAGGATCTCACCTATTGGCTTGCAGGTTTTTACTTACATCCCACCATGCTTATAGCCACACACATACGCCAATTGTTCCAAAAATTGTGCTGATAATGTGCTTCAGAAAAAAACAACCCAACGCATTTTCGTTGATCTCCACCGCCGTCCATCTCACGCTGAAGACGACCCCGGTTCTGTTTTAGCATCTCTGCTAGTGGCGCATTGTCCATTATTTCTCATTTCGATCCGAAAGCCCTCGCCGCCTTCTGCTCCTTCAATGGCCTCACCGGTCGCCAGCTGTTTCATGCGCATGTTAATGGATCCGTAAGTCCTCTTGGGCCGTACAAAGGCAGCTCTCCGCCGGTACATTTCACCTCTGCATATGGACACCATCAGCAGCACGGACAAGAACATTCCGCCCAACGTCAGCAAACCCAAACCTGCGATGATGCATTTGTCCAGGTGCGATCCGAGCTGGGCGTAGTAAAGTTCCAATTGTTCCATCTGCCGCGCAGAAATGGTGTCTGGGTCCACTTTGGCTTCACGTGGAATGGTGTACGCAATGATTACAAGCACGATGCCGCTGACCAAGAAGACCAGGGCGAAGATGAAGCCATAGTCAGCGGAGTGGTCGTCCCCCGGGTGCTGGTGGTACTCTCGGAGGTCATTGGAATCACCTGGTTCAGCGCCATCGCCATCGTCGTCTTCGTAGTCCAGAGGCGGCTGCGGAGAATCGGTCTAAAAAGACAACAAAAGGGGCCTTGATTTGTATTCATTTGAGTCCTTAAACACATCCTGGGTAACTTTATATTCGCATGAAGGGCCAGGTATCTCAATTATTGAGCATTATACTTATTATACGGTATGATGCTTATCTAGATAAAGGGGACATTCATTTTAATACATACGATATATTTCTACATTTCAGTTAAAAATAACTATTGATGCATTTTTATCAGTTTAAAAATCATGATTTATCTAAAAATCTTTTATATCTTATATCGCACCCCTATTTGCATAGATTAATATAAAGATTAAGAACACATGTTATGTATGCACTTTTTCTGCCTTGATTTTGGGCCAGTTATCTTTTGGGTTTCATGTTTAGTATTAGGATTATGGATATAGTTTGATGGTTATAGTTGTGGTAACCTTTTTTGTATATTTTACAGCTCAGGATGGCAGTATAAAAGGCGCTTTCTCTTGCTCTCTCTCTCTCTCTCTCTCACTTTGGCATTCACTTCACCTGCTTGGCGTGAGCGCGCGCTCTCCTGGTCCTGCTTGTGGTTTCCCAAATGCTGCAGGGTGTGCTTTACTTTAGCTTTTATCCTGGCCTTATTTTGAGGAACCTGGTGTGTCTGGAGACTACATTTTCGATTGTGGGGGTGTAGCAAGCCCTGGTGATCAAAGATGTCGGTACTGTATATTCAAATCAACAGCTTGTGCTCAGTGGCGCATGGGACCACCATGGGCATCAAAAGATTTGCGGAACACGCCCATATTTGGGTATTTCTCTGCCCCTCCCGGTTATATTTAAATCTTTTTATTGGTTTTTCTTTTCTTTCTGCAAATTCTGATTTTAAGGACAGTAAATACAGTAAAGTCAGTATGTTTCCAGCATTGGCCTCCTAGGTCCTGACCTCTAATCCATTATCTAAACCCATTATTTCTAAAGAAGTGAAAAGAAAAACAGCCGATGGATTTAACAAGAAAATAAGTCCCCACAAAATCCAACCTTTATGAAGCAGTAGGTTCCCTGACATTTGAGGTTGAGTTGTTTCAGTTTACATTAAGTTCTATGGAACATTTTTTGGGTAGCCCGCGTGAATTTAGTCTGTAGTACCGCAGGTGCTCCCCCTGTTCATGGGTTTAACAGCTATAAGCAAGTTATACCCATCCAGTTATTATCATAGATCCATGGGTAAAGTTTGTTGGGTTTATTTTATTCTTTGGTTACGGTGTTGGCATCTGGCTCTCCAGGCAGATGGTTGGGGGGCCCATTTTGTAACCTGTTTTTATATATATTTTACAGTTCTGGACGCTAGTATAAGAAGCGCTAGCATTGCCCTCTGCCTCTCTCCCTCGCTCACCAATTTAGCATTTGCTTAATTTAGAACAACAACATAATAAACATTGTTCTTAAGGTGTTATTGAATAAGAAACAAGTAACTGAATAAATGCAACATATATGAATGCTTATGGAGTCTTTGAGGACAAGGTCTGATCCTCTCACAGACTCTCTATATATTTCTGTGATAACCCCACTCTTCTTCCATATCGCCTGAATAGGTTGACTCACTCGTTCTGTCCCCCAAGACCACAGCACAATAATCTTGTTTCTATGAAAGCACAGATTTCACAAAATATGTTCTTTTCACGCTGGAAAAAATGGGCCGCACATTTCATTCAGAGCCCACACACACATTCACTCTGATTTATGGTGAGCGATAATGTTTCATAAATCTCCTTTCTCAGCCAGGTCTGCTCGGTTCTGTCACTCCATTATTTATTGTAATATCAATAACGTTTACATGTCAAATAAAATCACAAATGAGTTTGTGTTGAAATAAAGCCACAAGAAGCAAAGCGGGGGACACATTCAGCAAAGTGGACGAAGGTGCTGTGGTCAGATGAGTTCAGAATTGGACTCAAATCCAAAATGTTGTAAATGGCTCAAAACCAACACTGCTAGTCCCCTCGCTTCAAAAATCCCCACAGTCAAATATGGAGGCAGAATCATGTTATGGGGCTGCTTTTCTTCAGCAGGTAGTGTGACAGTGTGAGTGGATGGGACGATGGATGGAGCAAAATACAGGACAGTGTTGAATAAAAAGCATCGGAAGCTAGGTATTCCAGATAACCAGTATTAACTAGTGTTGTATTAAAGCTTATGCAAACCCCTTTTTAAAGTTTTGGATAAAATGAACTAAATTGTTTGCTTTCACTTCACATTTGTCTGTTACTTTGTTGTGATCTTTCAGTAAAATATCACGAGTAAAATGACAAAATGTGGAGAAGCGCAAGCTGTAAGAATACTTTTGCATGGCACTGCATATCATCACGGCAAATAATGAAAAGATTACTTGAATTGAGGGTTTTTCTCTTAATTTGAGTACATTCTGATCAGTGTTGGTAAAGATATTTTTAAAAAGTAACAATTCTCGTTACTTCTTTTAAAAATTAACTTGTTACTTTATTTAGTTTCTCTCTGGGAAGTAACTAATTACGTTACTCGTTACTTTTACGTTACTTTTGTGTTACTGTTATTATCCACTACAGTCTATATTATCCACTAAAAGCAGTCAAACCAAGGCGTCATTGACTTTGCATTGAAACTGGACGCAACAAATGGTCTGTGTGAACACCGCTTAACGCTCTGAACCAATGCAAAGCTGGGAAACCTATTGAGCCAATGAAACGCTTCTACACACCAACACAGTTGTTGAACATTGCGGCGGGTCGAGTTTCTATTCCCCCTTAATCTGAAGGCAACTTACTTACCTTTGTATGGTTGTTGGCAGAGGTCGAGGCCGCGCTGCTGAAGCTCTCCTGTCGGTCCTCATCGTGCAGGTAGGAGGCGTTGTGGAAGCCTTTGGGCCCCGCAGCTGTCCTGGGACCTGCCCGGGGACCAACACTGGGACCAGCGCTGGACCCTGGGGCGGCTGTCCTACCCTCACTGCCCAGCTCCTGCAGCTCCACACCATTCATGCTCCCAACTGTCCACGCATCACTAGGAGGAACACATACTGGCAACGTTATCCTTGTAAATTTTAAGGCTGAATTATTTGAGAAATGACATGTGTAGGTGAGATGAAGCTGGCTCTGAACGTTCAGTCATTCATTCTCATCCTAGCACAGGTTAAGGATGGTTCTGCTTGACTGTAAAATAATAAATAAGTAGAGTGCATTAAAAACAGATATCTGTTTTTAATACACTCTACTTATTTATTATTTTAATCCCTTGTGTGTTATAAATGTTTTTAATTACTGGTTTGATTTTAGTTGTGTTTTCAATGGTGATTTTGGTGTTTGTTTTATATGATTTGTACCTTGTGTGATGCGCTCTACAAATACAGATTGATTGATCCCCTTTATTGATCAATTGGAGTTGGTGGCAATCCCAATCCTTATAGCACCAGCCCAGACGCGGCCTTGGTACCGAACGTTCAAGCACTTTTCCCAGGTAGAACAATCCATGTCACTAGTTTCCTGGCTCTAAAACAATTTGGTTCTATCACTAGTTTTCAAATGAATGTATTTAACTTTTTTCAGACGGACTGAAAAGTGAGAAAAGAGAGGACCACCCTCACTCTCCGGGTCTCAGGCTCTTTCTTACAAGATGACACATTTTCTAATCTGAATGCTGTGATCTGATTTGTGCAACATATGATTTTTACAACACTCTTTTTGTTGCACTAACATGTTTACAGAGGGGGGTCATTTCGTTAGGCACCGCTGCTTCAAAACGAATTGAAGTGACATACATGTATTTGCGTCATTGAGCAGTAAATTATACCAGTTTAAATGTTTTTTGCTTTGTTCGTTTTTTTGCGTAGTTTTGTTCAAATAGAATACAAATATATACTGTATGTAGCAGGCTGTCCCCCTTTTCAGAAAATGTGTATCTTTAGTGTAACATGTAACAAGCCACAAAGCAGTATTTTATATATTTTCAAAGCACTTTATCTACAGCTAGCTTCATTCATTTCATTGTTAGCCCACACTCAGACCCTGCCCTCTCCTCAGATAGAGCCCTTTGTTCAGACATAATGAGAACATTATATAATCACAATTATTTTTCATATCTACACACTCTAATCCAACAGTATACAAGCAATATTAACCCTTTAGGCACCAGTGAGACGCAAATACATAAGAAAGTCAGAGATAGTGCACAACTTGAATCAATAACCAGAAATACATAGAAGATAATAATGTATGAAAAATGTATGGAAGTGTTTATGGGAAGCCAAGTCACTGTGTTGAAAGTGTCCTGGATTTAGGAGCAATTCCACTCAATCCAGATGTAAATTAGACTTAGTTTAATGATCCTTGTAAGATTTGTTGGTGTATACGTATGTAAGGCGGGCTTTTTTCACACTCTGCCGACTCAAGCTGAATTTGTCTGAGAACCTAAATCCATTCTATCTATATGGCACATTTCATAAACAATGGCTCTGTGTGTCATCGTTGCATTTCCCGTGTCTGATTCTCTGATCTGTGCTGGCGATTTGACGGCTCACTGTAAACCCGGATCTTGTAATCTTGTGAACTGTTTAGTAGTCATCGCTTACTCTCATATGTTTTTGTCAAAATAGTTGTGGCTACTAATCTTTACGAGTTGTTTGTACTACTTTGGCATGAAGCTGGTTTGAGATAATGATGTCAAGCACTGATTACTAAACCAGGTAAAATGACTCAGAGGGGCGGGGTCTATTTTCCACATTTGGCCTACGTCATGACATCACTCACTCCGCAGATCACGCACCGTCACCGACAGTTATGTTCTGATGTTGACAGATTAAAAAATGCACTTATTTTGTACAAGTTTCTCTGGAAAGCCTGTTTGTATTCTGTTGGTCACAGCTCTTAAGCAAAAGTATTTTTATTTTTGTTCACTAATGCAGTGGTTCCCAGCCTTTTGTCTAACATACCCCTTGGGCCTTTCTTTAATTGTTATTCTGACAAACCTCTGATTCAGTGGATCTGCTGATTTGTTAGAAACGGAATGACAAAAAATCAAATTAGTAAAATTAAATTTTATAACTTTGGCTAAACACTCAAATCTCTTTACAGTTAAATGTTTTAAAATGTATCTTCTTTGACCATAACAATCAAAAATACAAACTGTTTGTTGTTTGAGGCTTGTTGGAGAATGTGGCTGTGCTAGATCCTCTAACCTGAGACTGTGAGGGTGAATACTTCCTGTCCTATTCCGTTACTATTTTATTTTGCACAATTTTGACATGAAGAAGAATTGTAATGAAAGAGAGGGGTCTCCATCATGAACAGAACAAGAAGTACCTGCACTGTAATAGACCAAACTTTGATGCAAAATACTTAAAAGTAATCACTATATACTTCAATATTTTATATTTTTGGTTGACAAATAAGTACTGTATCATATTATCATAGCACCCTGTACAATACTGATTTTATGTGAAGATATGCATTTTATAAGCCTGGTGGTCCATCAATGACAAAACAAATATATTGTGTTGATTGAAAACAAATGTATTGGGCAAAGCAGTGACGATACCCAGAATGCATTGCAGAGAAAAACAAACTTCTGAAAAATTCTACATTTGAGCATTAATTTTGAGAGTGAATATGGAGCAAGTCCTAAAGCAAAATACTTGAGCAACATTCTGAATAAACTAATTTGACCAAATAAATCATTGTATTTATTTTTACCAACCGTAATCGACAGGGCCAAGTCAAAGCAGCCGTATACTGCCTGGGTCATTTCTTGAAGGAATTCTTGTATTATTTAAAAGTCACTTTGTTTCCATACATTACTTGACTGACACTACAGTGCTTGCAAAGTCCTCCACACCGTAAACCCGGATAGTGGGTAAAACGAGTGTTTCTTAAGGAAGCTCGTTCGCTCAATAAAGATTAGTTTTATACATACCACAAACATAACAATATAAGTTTATTAAACAGTCTTTACTAGCAGTCATTAGCTCCCTTGAACAACTCATAAGTTGTTTGTACTAATCCATTTTAGTTTATTAAATACCATGAACATAAGAAGTTAATTCAACAGTTACAGTTATATACTAGTCTTAAGCTCTAGAACGCAATTAGTTTAGTGTCAGTCAAGTAATGTATGGAAACAAAGTGACTTTTAAATAATACAAGAACTCTTTCAAAGCTGACCCAGGCAATATATGTGTACTTTGGATTGGCCCTGTCGATTACGGTTGGTAAAATTAAATACAATGATTTATTTGGTCAAATTAGTTTATTCAGAATGTTGCTCAAGTATTTTGCTTTAGGACTTGCTCCATATTCACTCTCAAAATTAATGCTCAAATGTAGAATTTTTCAGAAGTTTGTTTTTCTCTGCAATGCATTCTGGGTAGTGTCACTGCTTCGCCCAATACATTTGTTTTCAATCAACACAATATATTTGTTTTGTCATTGATGGACCACCAAGCTTACAAAATTAATATCTTCACTTAAAGCAATAAAATCAGTATTGTACAGGGTGCTATGATAATATGATACAGTACTTATTTGTCAACCAAAAATATAAAATATTGAAGTATTTAGTGATTACTTTTAAGTATTTTACATCAAAGTTTGGTCTATTACAGTGCAGGTACTTCTTGTTCTGTTCATGATGGAGACCCCTCTCTCTCATTACAATTCTTCTTCATGTCAAAATTGTGCAAAATAAAATAGTAACGGAATAGGACAGGAAGTATTCACCCTCACAGTCTCAGGTTAGAGGATCTAGCACAGCCACATTCTCCAACAAGTCACAAACAACAAACAGTTTGTATTTTTGATTGTTATGGTCAAAGAAGATACATTTTAAATAATTTAACTGCAAAGAGATTTGAGTGTTTAGCCAAAGTTAGAAAATTTCATTTTAATCATTAGATTTTTTGTCATTCCGTGTCTAACAAATCAGCAGATCCACTGAATCAGAGGTTTGTCAGAATAACAATTAAAGAAAGGCCCAAAGGGTACGTTAGACAAAAGGCTGGGAACCACTGCATTAGTGAACAAAAATAAAAATACTTTTGCTCATGAGCTGTGACCAACAGAATACAAACAGGCTTTCCAGAGAAACTTGTACAATATTTGTGCATTTTTTAATCTGTCAACATCAGAACATAACTGTCGGTGACGGTGCGTGATCTGCGGAGTGAGTGATGTCATGACGTAGGCCAAATGTGGAAAATAGACCCCGCCCCTCTGAGTCATTTTACCTGGTTTAGTAATCAGTGCTTAACATCATTATCTCAAACCAGCTTCATGCCAAAGTAGTACAAACAACTCGTAAAGATTAGTAGCCACAACTATTTTGACAAAAACATATGAGAGTAAGCAATGACTACTAAACAGTTCACAAGATTACAAGATCCGGGTTTACAGTGCAAGATAACTATGTAGCTTTATAAAAATAAATGGAATTGAATAAAGATAAAGATTTCCTACGTGCTGTACACAGGAGTAAGCCACACAATAAAAGTAATACCAATAGACAGATATAAAAATGCCGAACTTGGTTGAAAGGTATGTAATAATTTCATTTATTTGAGTCCCCAGATGAAAGGTCACTTGTTCAAATAGTATTATCTGGATAACAGTTTGAGTTATTCTTAGTTTAAAAAGTGTATATTATTTGAAATATACAGTAATCAGTGCTTCCCACTACAGACAGTAAGTATTAACTCTTATTACCACTAAGAGTGAATGTTACAAATGGTTCCTTTAAAACAATAAAAATCAAATAAGACCCAAAAAAAAAAGAAAAAAACACACACACAAAAGATTTTCTGGGTATGAAACACACACAGAGGGCTCACACAGTATAAGCGACTCAGAAATGGATGAAAGGGAAGAGCATGGATGGATGGGTGGATGACATTTTTATTAGTTTGATGACTAAACCTTGAGATACCATAAAAGTAAAACACACAAAATAAAACAAACACATTACATCATAGATTATATCTGCACAAGCTCAGTTC